GAGCAGAAGTTGGGCGCAGAGCTGACTGAGCCCCCCAGGCGCCCCGGGCCGGGAGGCTTTCAAGGGATCTCTGCACCCGTGAAGCAGGACAGACACGGAAATCCTACGTGGCACACACAGGAGCAAAGTGCATCGCAAAGGCAGGCCTGGGAGGGGACATTGTGCTTGTCACTCCCTGGCTGATGGGGCACGCTGTGCTTCAGGGGCGGAGACCTGGTTCCCCCGAACCCTGCCTCTCAGTTGTGCCACCGTGTCACCTCTGTGCCTCAGTTTCCCCATCTATAAAATGACGCCCGCAGCTGCAACATTTTGCAGGGGGGAGTCTGTGACTTGGGAGGTTGTGGGGTCCAGTAACCCTGGTTCCCAATAGACTCCACAGTACACAGTTGTGTGACACCCCAAAACTTCCTAAACCTCGGTTCCCCACTTTCTAAAATGGGGATCCAGAGCCCTGCCTTACAGGGACGTGTGGGATCACGCTGGGCCCTGTCGCAAAGCAGTGGCACTAATTATGTGCACCACGTGTCCCATCAGCGTCACGTGGGGATGATCTCAGGCTGCCGTCGAGGGCCCACTGCACACGTGTGTGCTGGGCGTGTCCTGTCTCGGACCATCCCAGGGCATCCCTGTGAATCAGATGCTTTTGTGAACCTGTTTTGCAGCTCGAGTACGACAGCCGAGGCCACGTGAGTGATTTGCCCAGGGTTGGTCGCGGGCAGAAGCCGGGTTTGAATTCTCTGTGATTTGAACGCCCCTTCCTTCACTCCTCTGTACTCAAGACGTGTCCAGAATAAGTCAGTTAAGCAGAGCAATGTCACAGCCAGCCCTCAAAACGAAGGAAGGCTCAAGCCAGCCCCTGGACCTCCGGTACAGCGGCCCCAGTGTCTCCATCTGTAAAATGGGTCTAAAATGCCATGCTAACGGCGGCTGGAGCTGGAGCCCACATCTGCTGGCTTTCAGGGCTGGCCCAACACGTTCCGTGCCACGTGCTCCCCGTCTGACCCAGCCTGTCCCCATCAGGGCCCTAAGTGACGAAGCGTAAGTGAGGCCACTGGTGTTACAACTGGTGTTCACGAAAGAAGGCTTTGTGGAACCTTCAAAGGGGAACTGGGGTTTATCAAGCATAAGCCCGGTGCCGTCCTGACCTGCGGCACGGTCGCAAGTCCATCCGGCCGTGCCTAGTGTCAATCCCCCGCCAGCTGCAGAGGCCGGGACCCCGGCCCCGTCCTCACCGACCCGTTGCCACGTGTGTGCTATCTCCTCCCCCCCGACTCATGGCTGCTGCACTCCTGCACCCTCTCCACCCCGTGGCCCCGCTGAGCCACCTCCGTGGCTTCCTGTGGGCATCCTCCCTGCAGCCCTCAGCCCTCCCATCCTGTTCCTGCTCCGTGACACAGCCACTGGGGTCTTCCCGGGACACACACCTGACCACATCACCCTCCTGCATCAGACCTCCCAGGGGATGCCACGCCCTGGGATAAAGCCCACACTCCTTGTACGGGCACTCAGGGCCCCTGGGCTGCCTGGCCTCCCTCTAGCTGTTGTCCCTGCCCATACATGCCCCCATACACCCCACAGCCCTGTCACACCCAGCTCCGAGCTCACGCACGACTGTGGTGCTGATGTGTCCCATGGGGTCCTCTGAGCATCCGTGCCTGCTGTTCCCTCTGGCTGGAATGCCCTTCCTTCCCCCAGTCAGTGTTCAAGACTCAGTCTAAAGTCACCTCTCGGTCAGGGTTTTGGCCAAGGTCACTTGTTTGGAGGCCCTGGGACTGCAGAAGCAGGCTCAGAACCCAGTCCATTAGGTGGAGGAGACTCAGGCATCAGGGCTCAGGGCCCAGGACCCAGAGAGAACTGGCCTTTACTGGACACCCCACTCTGGGGGTGGGGTGCCCCTGAGTGTGCCCCCTTGTGCTGTCACCCACCTGGCACCGGGGACCCTGGCACTTCCAATCATCTCCATCCAGAACCTTCCCACGCCTCCCAGTCCCCTTCCACCTCCACCGGGGGCCTCCTTGCCCCTGGCTTCTAGCAGACGCCCTACGTCTGAGGCCACAGATTCAAGCCCCCTGTTCTGGATCCTTCCACCACCCCCGCAGCTACAGAAAAAAGGCCCAGGGGATCCCGCCTCAGTGCAAACGCTCTCTCCTCGCAAATACTCTCCCCGAACCTCAGCGTCCTGGGAGAAGATGCCCCACCTGAGGACGGCCATCCCTGCCTGAGTCTCAAGGGCAGCCTCCTGTGACTCACAGCTTGTGACCCCCGTGATTAGAGCGACCGTTGTCCCCTTTCTTAACACACGTGGGGGTTTTCTCTGTGAAGCGCCCTCCTCTGCCGTCACCGGCTTGAAGAAAACATCCAAGGCCATGAGATTTTGCTCTTTGAGGAGGACGCGCCTGTGAGCGTCCTGGGATGGGAGGGCCCCCAGAACAACCACAGACGGGGGTCTACACAGCAAAGCCTCATTCCCTCTCAGCCCTGGAGGCTGGGAGTCCAAGACCCAGGTGGGAAGCTCCTTGGTTCCCTCTGAGTCCTCCCTGTTCTCCCTGTGTCCTCACGCGGTCGTCCCCCTGTGCCCGTCTGTGTCCTGCTGCCCTGTCCTTGTCAGGACACCTGCCATATTGTATCAGGTCCCACCCAGACGGCCTATTTTAACTTAAATATCCCTTTAAAAGTCCTGTCTCCAAACAAGGTCCCATCTGGGGGACAGGGGTGAGGACTTCTGCATACAGATTTGGAGGAGGACACAACCCAGCCCGTCAGGGAAGCCACTTTCGACCCCCTTGACCTCTGGGGTCCTCCCGGCCGCATCTGCGGGAGCTTCTCTGGATCCCCAGCCTCGCACTTGCGAAGAGAACTCCCGGCCTCTGAAACGCGGCCGCGTTACTTCCTGCTTTTCTGCTAGACCTTGTGCAGCTCGCTGGCACATACCCTGCCTTGCCCACCTCTCCCCCTGCGCCGCGCCCGGGACCTCATCCCCGCAGGGGCTGCCAAACTTTTCTGGAACGTTTCCAGAAAATACCTCTGGCTTTTCAGGCTGTGTGGCCTCTGTTGTAGCTAGTCATCGCTGCCTTTGGGACAGGAAAGCAGCCAGAGAGGACATGTAGACGAACAGGTTGCCTGTGTTCCCAAAAGACTTTATTTACAAACACAGGTGCCAGGCCATCGTCTGCCGATGCCTGCTCTAGGGTCCGTGCTATGAAACTGTCACCTTAATATTTTAGAAAAAGGGCTTTTTGGAGAGCGTTCGTTCCCCCGGAACGTGAGATTCCTTTGCTGATGACAGAGGTGAAGCCCAAAGAGGCAGGGAAGCCACTGCAGGTCAGGCAGTGCTTGCTTCCAGTAGCAGCTTCCGTCTCGTGGGCCTGAGTGCGATACCCCAGTGGCTGAGGGGTCCCCCGGGAGGGATGACAGGCCACCTCTGGTCCCTTCCCTGGCCCATCTGAGCGACCAGGCCAGGGCCCCCACCTCCTGTCTCAATTTCCCCAGTGACAAACCGGGAAAGAACTGCTCCTACCCTCAGACGGTGGGCGGCCATCAACGTCCGGGAGCCTGGTCAGCAAACCTCTGCATTAGCGGATGGCATTATCACCGCTATCCCCGTGGACGCACCGGCGTTTATGACGCCTGCCCCAGGACGTGACGGAGCCCATTCAATTTGCTCTCGTGGGAAGGGGTTGAGGACGCGCCATCAATGGCCGCAGAAACAGAACACTCCCGCTTGATGAAAGACAGACGCCAGTAAATCAACAAGAAAAAACGCACCAGGGACATCCCGCTTGTTGCAGTAAATCCTGCACGGTGGTGTCCCCGTGGAACGGCTGATTTGCTTCAGGTCACTCAGCCAAGAAGGGAGCCGAGGTGGCTTACCAGAACGCATCCGCTGCCCTGACATGAACGTGATGTGCAAGGGAGTCAGAGCAGGGGAGAGGTGAAGGCAGGCGAGCTGGACGAGGTCAGGGGAAGGCCACTGCAGAAATGCGTGCCCATCAGTCTCACACGGTCGTTAGAGGGCTGCCCTCTGATCACTGCCCGGCTCTCAGCGGTGGGTTGAGCGCGGTGGAAGGTGCCCAGCCTCCCTCCCTCCCTCGCCACGGGGCGCCTCGCGGCACACAGGGTGCGGAGTGGGAATCCAACATTGCTCAGCATCCCTTGCAGCTAGAGTTCTGGGGCACAGGTGCACCCGTGGGACATTTGGAGGGTGAACGTGGCACGGGGGCGCTGTCTTGCCACCCAGGGCCACGCCTGCTGGCCAGCGAGGTCCTCAGCTGCTGGGGGGGCGGGGGAGGGCGGCTGTGATGGAGCCCGCAGCCGGTCCTGCCTTCCACGGTCTGTCACTGGCTCTGCGAAGGTCGCGAGGCAGCCGTGCCACAGCAGTGACGATTTCAGATGCGTGGGTCTCCACATCAGCTGTGTGTCCTCGACCTTGGTAAGTCCAGTGGGGCTCCTGGTCCCCCCACCCTGGCTTCCTGACATGTGAGGCAGAGGCCCCCCCAGGGGGATAGCTCTGTGGCTCCCAGGAAGACCCCTGGGGGTCCAGCCTGGACCCCCGTGCCCCCCCCAACAGTTTAGAGAGCACCCAGTTCCCCACGCCAAATCCTTCTTCTGCTTAAAATATGCTGCCCTGAGCCCTGTCGGACACAAGGGATCAGAGCACACAGGAACACACATCGACGTGTCAGATTCTCACCACTCACGAAATCAGAGAATCTGTTACTCAGAGAAGCCCGATTTCCACCCAATTCTGAAACCTGAGGCCAGGGAGGACGTGGGATGTTGGAGCCTGGAGCCCTGCAGGACGGCTCATCTGCTGACCCTCCCATTGCTGGGCACCCCCCCCCACCCGCCCCTCCCCCGCTACCTTGACTGCCCTCCGCTTCAGCGCGGATAAATGCAAACCCGGTTCTCTGTGGCCGGAGGATTGCGGGTGTTCATTGCAGTCATCTCTGTGGTTTTGAAGTTGCATTAAACGTAAATGTACCTTGAGATCCATTCCCTACACCTCTCTTCAGAACCCCTCCGCTAGGAAGGCTTCCCTGATTGATGGTCTAAGGTGACTTTTCTTCCCCACTAAGGTTCTAGAAGGCAGTCCCAGGCTCAGATTCATTTCTCACGGTGCTGGGAAACAGGAGGTTCTTGATGGGGAGCAGAATGAAACATAACAGTGGGTCTGTCACGTGTTAGAGGTGAGTGTCCAGGCTGTGCCTGTAAGCAGGTCCCAGAGACAAGCACAGGGAACCAGGAAAGTCAGTTTGGGAAGGGGCTGCCTGCCTGGCCCTCACAGCCTTTGACCCCAGGCCCCCAGTGCAGGTGGTTGAGCCTTGAGAGAAACACCACTGCATCAGGCTCTCACCTTACAAGGCTGTCTAGGTTCCAGATGAGGTGGCCCTAGACTGCCCCAAGTCACAATGTCCTGGCGAAGTGGGAGGGGGGGTGAAGGCAGCGGGGCAGGGCAGTCAGAGGGTGGAGGACAGTGAGTGCTGGAGGAAGCGGCAGGCGCCTGGGAGGAAAGGTGAAGGGAGGACACTGGAAGGAACGTCTGGCTGTGTATCTGTCTGCAAGTCCTCGAGAGCGGAACACCAGCGCCCAGCTCTGCGGACGCTGACTTTGGCACGTGACCTGCTTTGGCCAATGGTGTGTGGGGAGGTGATATATTCCAAGTGAAAGCAGACACGTTAACGCTACCGTGGAGGTTCCCCCCACCCCCTGCCCCGGGGCTTCTGCCTTCCACCATGAGAACAGCATGTCCCCAGGTGACCTCAGGTCCCCGAATTAGAGATGTCCAGAGACCTGAACCCTACCATCAGCCAGGAGCATGTCTAGCCAATCCCAGCAGAGCCTGGTAGAACCCTAGCCAGCTCCCAGTCCCGGGAACAGGTGAAGAATGCTTGTCGCTGGGAGCCAATGAGGTTTGGGGCTGCGTGTTACTCAGCACAGCACCGGTCGATGCCTGATACACCAGCCTGATACACCAGGTCTGTCGGAATCAAGAGCCAGTGTTGTTCTACCACACCATCCTGCCTCTTAGAAGTCAGAGAGCTTTGAAAACCATAAAAACCTTGAAAAAAAAAAAAGCCCAAGGCGCTATTGTCATTGTTATTAATTTCCTCAGATTCCTCATTCCTTTTATAACCACAGCTAAGCCATTTTTTGTCTCCTTTTTCTTTCCTTAGAGTCGCAGAAAAGAACCAAGGAAAATAACCAAGATTTCAGCTCCATTAATTTTTCAGGGCACCATAAATTAAAGAGCAATTGCGATGCAGTCAATTTCTGCAGGAAAGTAAGTCTCCGTGATTGTGCTTTAGTCTAATTACGTGGAGGGCTGAGTAATGCTATTAATACCCAGAAGCACACGCTGGCCTGAAGGAGGGTGCCGGGAGCAAGACGCAGCCCATGAGGCCAGGGAATTCGGGGATGCCAGTACGTGAGGACCAGACCTCGGCCAGGAGGCCACGGTCCTGTAGAGAGCCATGGCTCAGACCAGCCAGAAGTCTCCATTTGGAGGCCCTTGACCTGGGTGATCCCTAATGGAAAAAAAATCCATCATTCACTCACTGATTGATCCAACCAACGGGCACCCGTCCATCTATCCACCCACCTCCACCATCAATCACCCCCAACCCCACCCATCACCC